CTTTTTCTGTCAGGCCCCCCTTCGGAGGACAAAAATCTTTCGCCCCCCCCCCCGCCTTAAACAGGGGGGATAGCCTTCAGTTTTGCAGTGGTAGTCTCGTCAGTCATTGTTGACACCATATCAAGAGCAGTGGGGAGTAGGAGAGCCTCAGTTATTGGATGTGCTTTCTTGGCAATTCTGTCACAGGGCTCCAGACTAACTTTTCCAATGGTAGCACTGGTGCTACCAACTTTCTTCACTGGTCGCACCAGCCAATGATTTGGTCGCCCCACTCCCTTATTTTGGTTCAGCATTGCCACAGCTATTAATGCACCATGCAGCTGATGCATAACTTAGTTATGTTGCAATGATCTGCAGTGGTACAAGACTAGATATTTGTAAAATGTTTTAACCATAAAATATATTCATTTTGTCACCAATCCTCTTCTAATATCAGTCATTAACTGGACACAGGCTAAACAATTGCTGAAAATGCCCATGGGTAGATAGTGCATTTTACTGATGTTCCCGAAACGCCTCACATGCTACTATAGTAGGTGCTACATTTTATCGATGTTCCTTAACGCCACACAAGCTGCTACGGCAGATGCTACATTTTACTGATGTGCCCTAAACGCCTCACATGCTGCTATGGTAGATGCTACATTTTACAGATGTTTTCTAAACGCCTCGCATGCTGCTCCGGTAGATTCGTCTTAATTTTTGTTGTCAGTACTTCTTAAATTTACGTTCTCGTTACAAATTAGTCACGGAAAAAAGGGTCGTCAACGAAAAGTTTTCGTTTAAGTTTTCGTTGACAAAATTAACACTGTCTGGTGCTGGACGTGACGTCACTTTCAAGGCCACGCTCTAACGAGTAACTAACGTTGTATTAACCCCTAGAGAGTAGAGACTGAGCCAGATAGTTATCTGTAGTTTACCCTAGTACTCGCAGGAATTAATGTTGTATTAGCTCCCCCAAAGAGTAGAGACTGAGCAAGATAGTTATCTGTATTTTCCCGTAGTACCTCTCACGACTACCCAACCCAGTGCAGGACTCTGCTGTGAAGGTGGAGACATGTGGCAGTGGTGTATTTGCGACAATTAAAAAAAAAAATAAAGAAAGAAATTTGAAGGAGCAGCGGCTAGGATATAGGAATGGCTGGTTGAAGATTAATTCCATGATAGAACTCTGGGGAGAGAGAGAGAAAAAAAAAAAACTCACATTGCTAGGAACCCCTTCTACATCCTCAGCAGGTATCTCAGGGTCACAGATGTTTCGCCCCTTAACCTGTACACCTCTCCTGAGTGGGGCAGCAAAGGCTAAGTTATCCTTCGCTTGCAGAGGGGTTCCAGCTGCGATTCCTTGACAGCCACAACCACCTGGAACTCAACTCAGCTGCTGTGGCTATGTCCTTAGTGGCTCTCCACAGCTGCCTGTGATTCAGTCCGATCTTGTGCAAGAAATAGCGTACTGATGTTGCAGGGAAGCCCCGAGAGCCAACCTCAATCGGATATAAGGCTGTATGCCATCCTTTGATATGAGCCTCATCCACCAGGTCCTGGTACTTTGCCCTCTTGAGCTGGTGAGAGATGGCTATTCTATCTTCCCAGGGCACTGTCAGTTCAGCCATAATGATGGTTTTTGACCTTCTCGAGAGAAGGATCAGGTCCGGTCGGAGCATGGTTGCCACCGCCTCCTGCGGGAAGACCAGCTTCTTCTTGAGGTCTACATGCAGTTCCCAGTCAGATGCTTGATGCAGGATGGATGGGAGGGTGTGTGATTTCTGTGCCTTAGGAACCTTGCTGCCCTCTGAGTGGAAGATAATGCTTCTATGTAATGGTGCCTGCTGTTTGTTGGCACTAACTCTCTGCAGCTCAGTCCACTTGGCAATTTCTGTGAGGATTTTGTCATGTCTCCACCTGTAGCGTCCGTCTGCGAGTGCTCTTGGGCACCCATTCAAGATGTGAATCAGAGTGCAGAAACTGGCTCCACACTGGCTGCAAGATGAATCCTCTTCCTTGCCCCAGATCTTCAGGTTGTTTAGAGAGGGCTAGAGGTCAGCCACAACTCATAGCAGAAAACTCAACTTGCCCTGGTCAGTGGCCCATAGCTCCCTCCAGGACAGTGGCTGTTCGAGTACCTCTTCCCATTGCATCCAGCGGGCCTGGGAGGCTAGCCCCACCGCTTTAATATAGCGGTCTTCCTCTGCCGATTCCCGGATTCTTTGCACCACAAGTTCTCTCCTTCCTCTGACATCGGCCTTGCTCCAGCTCTTAGTGCTATAGTTGCCGAGCCCTTGATGCCCCTGACACACAGTACCTACAATCTCCTGATGCCTCCAGTATGCTTCTGCCTCCTGAACTGCTTCCTGTGGTTTCCATTTCCTGCCACAGTTAATGGCACTACTTGCATGTTGGACTTTCTCATCCTTGGACAGTCGCAGTGTGCAGACTGCCCTTGCCTTAGTGGCCTTGAATTCTTCAACAACTGAGGAGAATGGTAACCGGAGCTTTGCAGACTTGCTGTAGAGGTTGACCGAACTAAAAGCTGGGGGAACACCCAGCCATTTTTGGATATACCTGCTGCATACTCTCTCCATTGCTTCCACTTTGGTTAATGGAAAGTCATACAACAAGAATGGCCACTGCAGTCTTGGTATGATGCCGTACTGAAAGGACCATACCTTGAACCTGCCCAACAACAAACTTTGGTCAATTCTCTTCAACCATGCTTTCAGTTGGGCTGTGGTCTCTTTCAGGTTCCCACTGTCCTTCAGGGTGCTGTCATAATTCTTCCCTAGGCAGTGGATTCCTTGCTCTTGGATGGTTGGAATCTCTGAACCCTGAATACTGAAGATGTGTTCTGACAGTTTTCCCTTCAAAAGGCAGAGGCTCCTGGATTTTTTGGGTTTAAACTGCATACGTGCCCAGGTGGCCATCTTTTCCAAAGAGCTCAGGACCCACCACGTCCCCTGAACTGATGGGGTCATCACCGTGGGACATTCTCCCAATGGAAAGTCTCTGTTGAAATCACCATGAGCAGCTTCTATGCTATCTTCCACTTCTTCCTTGCAACATGTTAATCTTCCACTTTTTGGTTGTCCAAGAAGGTCTGATGTAAAGCGGAAAGGGTTGTTGAAGAAGGTTTTCCTCTGGCGCTGTTTCTCTTTCTGTCTTCTCCTACTCGTCTCCGCCCTTTGCAAATGGAGAAGATTTTTTCGCACCACTGAGCTCAGCTTGCTCAAGGCTTCCTTTTCCTCTTGATCTGCCTTCCGCCACCTTTTCTTGAGTGCTCTCAGATCTTTACACAGTTCTGCAATCTGACGTTGCCTTCTACTGGGGCCTGCTGGAGCTCTGGCAAGTTTCCCCTCTTTGACTCCAAATGTGTCACATCATGTTCCGTACACAGTGTCCACCAAGGTCTTTATCTTCTTAGTAGCATCTCCTTTCAACTTATTGTCCAGGATGATGCTTAGGTCTTCATCCAGTTGCGTCCATCTTTTGGTCTGTGGCTGGTGGTAAATTCAACCGTGGTTTCCTCTGCAAGCCTTCCAAGCTTTGGAATTCATGGCCATTCCAGCACAGCGAATGAATAGTTGGCTATTCGGGTCCAGCCCTCGTATGAAAATCCACATTTGAAATACTCCGGGTCATATTTGCGCTTTGCCATCTTGCATCCCAACATCAACACAAACTTAAAATGAACGCCAAACAAACTACGGGTACTATGCTTGTCAAAATAAAAGTTTTTTCAAAATAAAAAATAAGTCCAACCTGAGACGCACATTATATATTATTTAATTTTGACCAGCTGTCCGCGACCCACCCAGAACAGGTCTGCAACCCACTTTTGGGTCCCACCAGTTGAGAACCCCTGGTCTATGGTACTGCTGGTCTGGAGGGGTTGGCCTTTAGCCTAGCATAAAGCCCAGCTCGTTTCCTCCTAGGGCTGGGCCAAATCATACCTTGCATTAGTGATGTGCTGATTGACACTTAAATATCGATACTTCTGATACCAGATCTACCAGCTCTAAATTCCTCAATTCCTAAATCAAAATATCGATATTTTTGATACTTTAGTCATTTGAGGTAATGTAAATCATTACCCAGAGGTTAAACTATTGAGATCTTGACGAAATGACACGCGGCTGGTGGGAACTACTTTTTCTTCCGCCTGGGTAAGCACTTAATGCGTAAGCGCAGCAGCACGCTGTTCAATCAGTCTCAGTCTTTTGACACACTGGCAGGGCGTAAACGGAGTCGTGTGTGGAGCTGTATCAGCTGTATCAGCTCCACAAACAGCCAAGACGCACTTTGTGATGTTTGTGGAAAAATGGGAACGAGCAACACAGCAAACCTTGTGAAACATCTCAAGTTAAAGCACAACACAGAGCGTTGCCCCCCTGTTGTAACCTGAGCAGATGGTATGCTCCAGTATAAGAGCAGGAAACGGCATCTTAGTGTGAGACTGTGAGTTTTAGCTGTTCTTTCCTCTATTTCTTGTTTTCTTTAAACTTCTCAGGATTTTGGTTTTATTGTGTTGTTGAACCAACAGTTTTGTAAGCATTCCGATGCTAGCACCGTTATGTGGTGTGGTAGTGTGATAAGTAACAGTAAAATTGTTACTTTAAATGTAAATCTAGATTCTAGGATTCTTATCCAAATGAAAATACAATTGTAGCAGTGGTGACTTCACATGCCTTTCATCCCTATTTTCATGAATGGCATTCCTACTCATCATCTTAGTTGTGTCTTTGGCAAAGAAGAAAATGTCCCTTGCCATTCAAATATGCTTAGTTGCCTTTACTTGTATTGTTGTATATCATCTTTACTGTAAATGACTTCTGAAAGTATCCTCTTTATACTCTCAAGAATATTTCCATCTTCTTCTTTTGGTTATCTTGCGATTTGAGCTTATCTGCAGCTGCAGATAAGGCTGTAGGTTTGTGAAGAATAAGACCGTGAGCTTCATACCTGCATGTCTCATATCTCTGTTTTTGTCTGTGGGTGTCCTCCAGCCGAGAAGTGGTACAAGCGTCATCTGACCTACCAGATCGTGAACTGGCCTCACCACCTGTCTCTGGGCTCCGTGCGGCTGGCAGTGCGCACTGCCTTCCAACTGTGGAGCAACGTGTCGGGCCTGGTCTTCCAGGAGGCCCCCGAAGGGCCCGCAGACATCCGGCTGGCCTTTTACGAAGGAGACCACAACGACGGGGCCAGCAATGCTTTTGACGGACCAGGTCAGATTTGTCACACATTTATTCAAGTCATCACCACATCTCTCCATCTGATCAAACCTGTGTTGTACTGTGTAAAAACTTGTACTGTTTTCATTTCTAAGACCTTGATGTACAAATTATTCTGATATTTAACATGGCTAAATTTAGAACTAATAACCCAACACCTGATCACAAGTTAGTTCATATAGTTCAGTGAATTGAATGGTGAGTCATAGTTTTATTTGGTGTTTGCAGTGATTGTTTTTGGATGCTATGATTTTGTGTATGTAGTTTTCTCTCTGGTCGCTCTTGCAAAATCTAGCTTGATCCCAAATTCCTCAACCAATAAACTTATAGTTTCTGATGTTTATGTACACAAAAACCTGATTACTGTAAATAATCAGATTGAGGTAGTAGTTTGATTATCTCTGTACTCATTTGAATCCCACAGTAACAGTTCACATTTAATATAAACATGTAAACTCATCAAGTTAATGTCATGTGGGACATGAGGTCATCAGGAAACATCTTATTCACCAGAAACATGTTTTTGTTGTGAATTATTTCACACTGATGAATTTATGAAGCCTTTTAATGCATTTCTTTCACTCTTGTAGTATATAAGCTCCGTCCCTCACCGTTGCGCTGATGGTCTAATACAGTTTTGAGCAGTGGTTTCCAGTGTTTTTTTTGCTTCTCACCCATTTAATATGAAGCAACACTTACCTGTGAGTCCTCAGTACAGAAGTTAAGTCGTGCACAGTTCATTTAAAGAGTGATTTTTAAAATCTTAGACTGATTCATTTTAAGAATGAGACGTGAAGTGCAGAGATGTGTTATTAATCTGATAAATAACAAGTAAAGTATAAAAGAAATATAAATGCAATATAACAGGACACATAATTAACAAATAATACAGATAAATAATTCAACTAAAAGAATAAAGATTAACTTGTACAGTTTTTTAAAAGACCAAAACAAAGTTTAGATCATACTTTTTTTAAATGACCAGTTTTGTGTTCATATATTTTCTACACTGACAGTTGTCTTATAAAACTTGGCATTTATTCCACGCAGGTTTAGAGTGGATACTAACACATAATTGCAGCTAATAAACTGATTTCATTGATAAATTTGACAGGGATCCATGTGGATATCTGTTTGGTATCAGATGGAGATCGCTGTTTAAAAAAGAAAAAAAGAACAATGTCAAGAACTTGTCTTTCTCTAAGGTAATCTTCAGATGAACTCAGACACACACAGTCAAATGAATGAACCGAGTGAGCCAAGACAGACTTGAACACAATCTTTTATACAGCAGACGGGCTGAAGGTTAGTCGGACGTCCTCAGCCGGTTTCCAGAACAGCGTGTACGAGACGCCATCCAGACTCTCTGTCTCCTTCCTATCCTTGCATAGTCTTCAGAGGTGAAACAATTCATCTGTAGTAGTGAAAGTTAATGTTGCTTGACAATTACTGCTTCGACAGTTATCATGATACACATGCACAGGCCTGCATGGAATCATAAGCATTCTTTATCAGAAATTTCTATTTCAGGTATCCGCAGATACCGGCTTTAAAATGGCAAATTAATATTGATGGACACTTGATGGATATTTACTGTTGGGTTAAGAGTTTACAGTTCTGCTGGAGGATGTTACATAACATTAAATATAGCATGTTTTACATAGAAACTGAAGTACTTTTCTTGCACCGTTTAGTGGGTTATCACAATAAGAGTCGACATAACTAGAGGCCGTAGAGGGATATAGTTGCCCCGGCCGGCCATGATTGCACTAAGCCCCAGTAAACCATTATTCTGTCTAACTTACCACAAAATAGGTGTTTTCTTTCACTAATCCTGGTTGAATGGTTGTCCAAGGTGAAATGGGTACTATTCATGTATACATTACATGTTATTATAGCTGCCCCTGACCAGGGGGTAACTATAGAGTAATCGGTCCCATCTGTGAGTGTCTGTGAGTGTGTCTGTGAACAATCTGTTGTTCGCGTGCTAAGGTCTAACAAGTTGATATTTAACAGGTGAGCTAGGATGGCCTCTCCTAGTAACCATTATATTTTGGGACCAATCAGTGCAAAAATAGCTCAGCTTGAGGTCAACGGTCACTTTTCCAAAAATGCTGTATCATGGCTGGCAGCAGCAACTATATCCCTCCACTGAGGGCACTCTAGTTTAAAATATAATGGCAATTTCAATTTTTTTTTTACCTTGAGTTTGACCTTGAAATATCACAAAGGTCAAATGTTACATCCCCACTGGGAAGCCTATATATGGTTTCCAATACAAACAATGTTTCTAAAATTTCTGACCTTGAGTTTGACCTTGAAATACACTCTTGCCTATAAAGTTGGAATAGTTCTTGTTTTCAGACACATTCCTCTTTTTATTTCTAGTTATACAGTAATCACTTCTGACCAGGAGCAATGATTACATACTGAGTCCCAGTTACCAGGTGGAACCAATTCTGACTTTGGGATCTGACCAAAGAGTGGGACGCCCTGCCCATTGACACCATCAACAAGCTGGTGGACAGTATGCCACGATGTCTTTCAGGGGTGGCCATACTCAATATTAGTGACTGACTGACATTTGAAAGAGTAATATTGGACATTCTTTTGCATGAAATCTCCTTGAATATGTGTTTCCTGTTAAATTGACCAAGGTTCAAAAATTAAAACAAAACCCTTTATCCTATTGTTCAATACCTCAATTTAGTTTAAGCTTGAATACACAGTTTGCAAAAGTTAACTGTGGTTTAATTTTTTACTGTGATATGTATTATATGTATATTGTGATATCAACAAAGTTTTGAGAAGACATACACTTTATCTATCAAGAATAAATCACATTGTCACAATCATTTCATGAGAAGAGGAAACAAATATTTTATTGCAACTTTATGGGCAAAAATGTGTCATCCAAAGTCAAATGTAGCATCACCAATGGAAAGTGTGAACAGGGTTGCTTATCTGCACCAAATACCAGAAATCTGCCTTTCACCTTTTTTAGGTTATACAGCATTTTTGAATATGTGACCCTTGATCTCTAGCGGAGCTATTTTTATATGTGTACATATTGTTAATTGGCCAAAATAAGCTGGAAAATATCATCCATCCATCATCTATACACCGCCTCATCCTCACTAGGGTCATGGGGGGCTGGAGCCTATCCCAGCTGACTCAGGGTGAAGGCAGGGGACACCCTGGACAGGTCACCAGTCTATCACAGGGCTGCACTTAGAGGCAGACAACCAAGCACACTCACATTCACACCTACAGACAATTTAGAATCACCAATTAACCTCAACATGTTTTTGGACTGTGGGAGGAAGCCGGAGAACCCGGAGAGAACCCACACGACATGGGGAGAACATGCAAACTCCATGCAGAAAGATCCCGGTGCCCCCACTGGGATGCGAACTGGCGACCTTCTTGCTACGTGGAAAATATCAGTATATAGGATATTGGCAAAAATTTGAATATTGTTCATCCCTATAACATGATGTTATTTACATTGAAAAATAAGCAATTTGAATACTTATCACTGAAAATAGTCATTTAAATGTACTATCTCTTTTTTTTTTAATTCATTAAGTAGCTTTAAGGATGTCTAAAGCGTCATTTTCAAACACTTGCTCACAGTTGGAGATTGTTCCAAGTCTGAATTGAGTGATAATTATAGTGAGAGAAACTCCACAAGGTTTGGATGCTCAGCAGTAACAACTAATCCACTAGTAGGATGCTATTTGTTGTGATGGCAAATCAACCAATAAATAGTACAAACAGCTGAGATTTACAAAGAATCTACACCTAAACTATGATATATATAGTGAGTAACTGTGTCTTCTCTTTGTTGTTCAGGGGGAACTCTGGCTCACGCCTTCCTGCCTCGCCGAGGTGAAGCCCACTTCGACATGGCAGAGAGGTGGACGCTCAACGGACACAAAGGACACAACCTGTTCATGGTCACTGCCCACGAGATCGGACACACTCTGGGGCTGGAGCACTCCCCTGTCCGCCATGCTCTCATGTCACCGTACTACAGGAAACTGGGCCGCAGCCTGGTTCTGAGCTGGGACGACATCATTGCAGTGCAGCAGCTGTACGGTGAGAAGACTCTGGCTTTGGTTTGTTGTGACAAACTGATATGGTCTGGATGTGTTTTTTCTTTAAATTCTCATCCAGATTGAAACACTGTCAAACCTTAACAGCTACTCGGGGTAAATGCTGTCTTTGTTAAATGCATCTTGTGTGGCTCCAAACAGAGCAGAGGTGTTAAACGTCACACCTTTCACTGGACACACAGAGACAGTTTTACCACTTTTTCCTGAGGCTGAAAGTCTGGAGGGCTGGGAAAAAAAAAATCAAATCAGAGGACAAATGTGTGTGTGACCTCAGGAACATTTAAAGATGGTGAGATAAGAATGCAGTTTAGAGTCAATTATTATTAAACAAGCTGCATGAATTGCTGAGTCATTATAAAACCAGACTGTCTTTGAGAAAACACAGATGTAGGGTAATTTTTGTTCTGTTGCCCATTAGTTTGGGAGCTGCGGCACTGAGCTGTGAAAAACCTCGAAGGCCACCAGCTGCAAGTGTAGAGTGAGAATGAGTAGAACAACATAGCCTGCTGAAAGTCTCCACAGTTCATTAAAACCTGTGTTTGGGCAACAGTTTCTAAAATGGGAATCTGATTAGATCCAGAAAGCTGACATCAGCAGCACATTCAGAGCTCTTGCGTATTAAAGCTCACAGCTACGAATGTGATTAAAATCCACTGCAGCATTATTTGTGAAAGAGATTGTTGAAATGCTACATTTACTGAAAAAGGAGGAGCAGAGCACTTCTCTTTTTTTTTTTACAGCCACTTTTAAGTTTCATTGTCAAAAAAAGGTCTAATCTTGATCATAAAGAGTCTAAACAACATCCTTTTCTTTGTTGAGTTTATCTTTAAGCAGTCTGTTCTCTCGGTTTCAGTGCCTCTCAGCTGCTGGGTTTTCCAGACTGAGGGTAGCAGAGGTGGTGTGAGCATCAAAATGACACACTGTTTGTATGTTATTATTATTATTATGCAGCGTCTCACGGTGTTTACCTGGGAGTTTTGTCAGCTCTGTTGTGATAGATTACTGGTGTGGTTGCAGAATGCAAGGAGCATTACATAGGACTTATGACAACTATAATAGTTTCTGTTTACTGTGAACGTGTTGTCCCTCCTGGCATGTGTGAGGCAGGTTTCCACATGTGCCGCTCTGTACATTTCTCTTATTGCTTGTATTTTTCCTGCTCCTTAGAAACTGATTTCTCTGTAACAATTGTACAGCAACTATTTTTGCACCAAAAACAGCTTTTTTAACCCACTACCCACGTTCTGTGATGGTAATGTGTTCAATTTTTTTAAATCTAAAAGATGCATGAAGCGCTGTCTGTGAGCTTGAGCCTCAGGTGTGCAGCAGCTGCAGAGAGCCCGTTGAAACCACAACACTCTGCAGGAATGTTTGCATGGCTGCAGGACATTCACATACTCATTTGGATAATTTAACTCTAAACTTGAGATTCAGCTTAACTAAAGCTTGCAGGCAGCCTGATGAAATATTCTGCATTTGCTCAGTTACACTCAATACCAACAGCACTTAATGCCACATCGATTTGTGACTTGACCATATTTTGAATTAAGTGTCACTAATGAGCAGCAGTTAGAGCAAATTATTAGTGTTTAGTTGGTCATTGAGCTGTATATGTTTTTTTGTTTTTGCGCTGAAAGCTGGTCTGCTTATCAGCCTTTATAGAAAGAATTCAAAATAGATCTCCGTTCTTACTTTTTTATTGCTTCTCAAAAAGTTACCCAGGATTCTTTAGCTGGCCCTCAGGTGAAGTTGAACAAAGTGCAGCTCGCTTTTCTCCTGTACACTTATCAACCTGATTTCCACCCTGTGGCGGTAATTTCTGCACAGTGCAGCCGCTCCCACGTAAATGTCAAGCAGCTCCAGAGACGGACATGGATAAGAACAGCAACTGACAGGACTGCTGGCACTGCGAAAAATACTACATCTGCTCCAAGATAAAAAAGCTTTCGGCAGAGGGTGTGTATGTGTGTGTGTGTGTGTGTGTGTGTGTGTGAGTGAGCGTGTCATTCCCAGTGTTGGCATTGTGATTTTAAAGGAAGCACATGTGAGGCAGACTGAATGTGTCAGTCTCTCCAGAGCACCTCTGATTGCTCAGTGCGAAGGAACATGGATGGCGGTGTTTCTGCCCTGGAATGCAGTACAGAGTGTATATTACAGTGGAGAAATCATGCAGAACTGTAACTGTACCACAATGTAAAAGTGGTCCTTTACAAGAAAAACTCTTGGTTTTAGTTTAAATTTTCACTACTTTTACGATTCGATCCTTATCTTAGCAAAGTTATAAATGTCAAACAAGGTGTAGTAAAAGCATAAAATCACATAAAATAAAAGTCAGCACCTTAAAGATATCGGAAAAGTTTGAAAGCCCTTCAGAATTCTCTGTATTTCTACATAAATATAGCCTAAAATACATCAAATTGTCATAAAAGTCAATAAGGAGAGCCCAATTCAACATCCATCAATCCATTATCTATATCTGGAGTCTATCCCAGC